TCGGATCAAGTTCGAAATGGCTGACTGGCGGCCATTTTGTTTTAAAGAATTCAGTTCTGGATCCGTATCCGAGACATGTCTGGATTGATCAAGTTCAAACTTCACACACACAAGGTACATCATGTCACAAATATGTATGTGCATTTGTTTCATGATCTCATTAACGATAGCCAAATGGCGGTCGCTTTAAGGCCGAAAATGCATTGAAATCGCACATTTTCACCATTCCGAACCCGGATCTCAGTTATGCATGGACGGATGTTGTTCAAATTTGGTACATACATTAAACATAATAGGACCTTGATGCACATCATTTTTTTTTCGGATCAAGTTCGAAATGGCCAACTGGTGGCCATTTTGTTTTAAAGAATTCAGTTCTGGATCCGTATCCAAGACATGTCTGGATTGATCAAGTTCAAACTTCACACACACATGGTACATCATGTCACAAATAGATATGTGCATTTGTTTCATGATCCGCTTAACAATAGCTGAATGATGGCCATTTTAACGTCGAAAATGCATCAAAATCACGTATTTTCACAATTCCGGAACCGGATCTCAGTCATGCATGGATGGATTTTGTTCATATTTAGTACAATGTGTTGTACATATGCAGGTGCATTTCGGTCATGATCTGCTTTGAATGTATATATCACTCAAATATGAACGGAACGGGGACATGTCATTGACAATGACTTGTTTTTTTTTTGATTTAGTGCCTTTGATGCAGATAGAGAGAGACAATATCGTGCCAATGAAAAGCAACTGAAGTTACAGATAGCACAGCTAGAAGCTACCTTGAAAGGAGATCTCAATGATAAGAATACTATCTTAGATAAACTTACAGATGAACGAGGTAGGTACATCAGTCACTCAGTGTTAGATAATACCATAATGATTTAGTAGTGTCACACGCAACGTAATATTACCGTAATTGGTATAGTACAGGTGTGATGGTTCAAATACCAAAATGGCAACAGTAACAAAAAGACTTCCCTGGCGGCGATGATAAAATACGAACACGGAGCCAACAGATGAGGTTTCAACTGGTACTGGTATTATTATACTCTGCAAACATCAAGTACAATAACGCGGTACAACTCCACTACTCCAATAACTAGATACTTAAACTCCAATACAATTCAACGAGATCTCCGATCTGAACTCAGTGCTGAACAACTCCCCTATATATACCCACACTGTCTATAAATAGACCATTACATCAGCATACATAATGAGTCTTGAACTTACTACAAATTTCTAGAATGTTCCATTACCTTCCATTGCCTCCTACAGTGTTCTATTACCTATTCAACCAGTTTCTAAATAAATATAGAATATTCCACCCAGACACAGTACGGTTCTAGAACATTCTCAGTGACACGGAAGTGGTAAATAAGTCGTATGCGACAGTTAGTTGTTTTTGAATTTATATAAATCAACTTATTTGGTTTATATTAATGCTGACATTTTACCAGGAAATGGAATTGATTCACTTACACAACACAACTCATGCAACACATGAACATGAACCATTGGAAACTCAAACTTTTGTCATGTTTCGCAAAATAAATCTGTATACTTAATGTTTAATTTCACCTTTCCTCCAAATTAGGCCTGTATTCAATAGAAAATTATTTCCATTTGGTAGAAAATACATAAATGTGCACAAATGTTGCACCAAACTTAGTACTGATCATTTCCTTTATGCTCGCAGAGACAAGAGAAAAGTTGGATAAGGACAATAGAGAACTGCAAATAAAGTATTACTCATCCAAACAAGAACTTGATGAGCTGTCTGAAAAGATGAAGTTCTTCACCAAGGAGAGTGCTGTTGATTTCCAGGAGTTGGAAGAAGCATTAATTCTTGTAAAGGTAAATATTTATTGGGTAATAGCGTAGTGGTTGTTGAGTCTTACTTGCGATCGGTTGATCCAAGTTTAAATCCTTTCTACATGTAGGGTTGAACAATATGAAGGGGTTGACCCCCTATCCTGCCACTGACTGAATTGTGAGTACAAAGCCAGTTCTTGTCAGGATTCATCGACTATTTTGGTTTGTTTATTTCAGAAACGTAAAGAGGCAGGAAGTCAGAACTTGGAGTTTTTAGAAAGAGTTGATGATGAATTGAATAAAGGTAAAGTTATATGTCACTATGTTCAACAATATGCAAGCATGAATGTGTGGTAGTTGGTATTGGTAGTCATTGGTAATTTATTATAACCAGACATTTCAGACAATACCCCTTCATCAGTAGTATCTAGTTATATTGAATAATTACCAATGACTACCATACAGTGTGCCCTCCAAATGAAATCCCTCCAAATCAAGTTGAGTCAGCTTGTTGGTTGCTCGGAAGGTCAGTGTTCAAGAAAAAAACAAATCATCCGTGATGGGTGACTTGTGGCTCAAACAAATTCTGTAGCAAATGAATAACTGCTGGAAACAACCATACATGTACAGTACAATCCATGTTTCTAAGTGTGAATGCAGCCATAGTCAGTTACTTACTCACATGTATATTCGCAGTGTTCTCCCAAGATAAATAGCATAACATAATATCTAATTTCCATAAGAATAGAATATGTTAATCACATCTATTGTGTCCGTTGCTACAGTAATTATTTTCTTTTGTTTATCCATAATTATAAGAGTTGGGGGGCACCTAACCCCAGTGCTCTCAAGAGATCCCTGGGAGGACTTGGTGATGCATTTATTCATTAGAGGTACACCAAGGGCTAGGTGCTGAATACCACACTGTGGCAGCTTGTCAACTCAAATTTAGAGAGTTGTTAGAAAAGCATTTAAATTTTCATTTTTACCATAGATATGAAACAGCAGATAGTTGGCTTACAAGCAGAGCATGCAGAGACGGTGGAGGAGCTTGAGAAGACCAGGAATATGCTAATATTACAACACAAGATAAACCGTGACTATCAACAGGAAGTAGAAAGCAGCACAGCAAGACTAGAAGATTATAAAAAAGAATATGATACTAAACTGGAAGAGTATGCACAATTGTTAGATATCCGAGCAGCTAGGATAAAGGTAAGTGTTAGCTACAGACCAAAGATACAAGGGTTTTATACAGTATCTTTTGAACAAGTGAGGTTTTTCTGCAAGCAAGTTGTTTCTCACATGAGTTACTTAGTCATATTTGCATTTCAAATTACTGGTGTTCTGTGTAGGAGGCATTGTGGGTGTGGCATTGTGGGTGTTTCCATAGTTACCTATTGTCAACTTGCATTATAGTAATAAGTAAATGTTTCATATTTATTTCAGAAACTTGAGAGTCAACTGAAAGATATTGCATATGGTACAAAGCAGGTGAAACTCAAAGACTTTGTGGAGGTGAGATTGTACAAACTATTTCACAGTACTGAATATTATGGTGATAAGGTCACCTTCCCATCATATACATATTTCTAACTGCATCATGTACATGTATGATACCGGGGTATCACTTCACCACCACCATGTCTATTCATCTTGTCATTCATACACAGCTTTTCCACCTTTTTTTTGAAGAAGTCTGAAATGAGAATAAAGTTAGTTTTAAAATTAAAACTGACGGATCATATAAATTGATCATATTGACATTTTCTTGCCAGCATGATGACGAGTACGAGGAGATTGATGAAACTCTGAAGTTAGAGAGAGGACAGAATGTGTTTGAGATACACATACAGAAGGTAAGACTTATGAAATTCAGTTATTATTACATACATTAAAATTCTAATACATTAGGTTCTATTATTTACCCATGATTTGATTTTAATAAACACGGTGATCACCATATTACTAAAATTACCCCAATAATGTATGAATAACAACCTTGTGGTCATCAGTATGTTAACAACACTGGCAATATTGAAACTTTATAGACAAACCATAATGATTATCATATCAATAGGTATTCTTTATTAACATATCAGCATATATACTTTATTTCAAGATTATTGCTATGTGCATCTCTGTATGACTGACTTGTCTTACTTAGTTTTTAAAGGCCTTTAAGGGGCTTATAATGAACTCTAACAATGGGAGCTTAGTTCCTTTCCAGTCTGGCTGTTGTTAGAAGCTCATTTCAAGTTCTGATTAAATTGTTTTTTCATCAGTTTATAGGTCACTACATAGCTTCAATAAGATATATAAATTGCATAGCAGTGATTTTATGCTATTGTAATAAATTGTGTGGCGATTGTGAGGCTTTAAGGATATTTGATAAATTGATAGATGGTAAATTCTTCAATTGAATTTGTTTGGGAGGTTGTTGTGGGTAGATTACATTCACCATCTTGTATAGCACAGTTATTTTTCTAAATTATATGACAATTACGAGTCAGTGATTAACTGTTGATTTGTTTGTTTTTTGTCCAGATCTCATACAGTAGAGAAGCTTTGAATGAAATGGGCGACAGTGAACCATCAACATTCGTGACTTATGAATTCTTTGAATTTGAAGTTCAATCAACACCAGTGGTGAAAGGAAATAAGTGAGTAGTCGTTACTTTACATCTTATAACTCACATCCTTAGCAAAATAGTGATGTTGTGAGTACATTGGTGGGTGAGTGGCTGACCGCAGTGTAACAACTTAGTCTGGTTGTGTTGTCAGTCATCACTCAGATTACAGCAAATCCCAAAACAGTTTAATAATTTTGAATGACAGATCTCTATGACAGCGACGCTGTGAACGACTTGTTTTGCACATGTGTGTCATAACAGTGCTCCCTGACTAGGATTTATGTTGTGACAACGCTTGAAAATCTTCTCTATGCAAGCCACATAATTAGTCCCCGTTCGGACGAAGTCTGAAAACGGGGACTTATAATTCGGTCTCCGTCCGTGCGTCCGTCCGGAGTCATATCTCAGAATCCCTTGGACCGATTCCGTTCATTCTTTGCATGTGTCTAGTACTTTATGTGAGACATATGCACATGCAGTGGTTTAGCGATTGCATTCAAAATGGCCGACTGGCAGCCATCTTGTTTTTTGAAAATGTCGTATTTTGGACATCTTTTGTCAGTTTTCATTCAAATTTAGTACATAGATCATACATAGGATACATGTCCCCAACCGTTCGTGAGTTCCTGAGTCTGTCCGTCCATCTGTCCGTGTGTGTGTCCGTTTGTTCGTGCGTCAGTCTGTCCAGAGTCATATTTCAGAATCCTGTTGTCCGATTTCGTTCATTCTTTGCATGTGCCTAGTACCTTATGTGGGACATATGCACATGCAGTGGTTTAGCGATTCGATTCAAATATGGCTGACTGGTGGCCATTTTGTTTTTCATACCCATGCCTACTTTCTCATGAATGCAATGAACATTTCTGTTTAAATTTCGTACAAAGACAGTATACCAATAGATACTTCAACATGAACATTATTTTTGTGATTTGATTCAATATGACTGCCCAATGTAATTCTTGTGTAAAAGCACTAAATCATAATTTTTTACAAATCCATCTCCTATTAATGGTTTCAATCTAATCTCAATGACTTCATCAGCATCAAATTGATATGTCAGATCACAAAATTTTGGGCGGGGACTGTGTCATTAACAATAACTTGTTATATATACATGACTGCTAAGCATGAATTGTATGTCTTGTGAGCTTTTTTTTGTGTGGAAAACTGGTGTTTGTCATTTACAGCAAAGCCATTGACGCATTTCTTGTTGATTTACAGACCAGATTTTGATTTTACATCGCAGTATGTGGTCACTGTGGATGACTTCTTTCTACATCATTTAATGAAGGAATCCACCACACTGGAGGTACACCAAGGACTAGGTACTGAATACCACACTGTGGCAGCTTGTCAACTCAAATTTAGAGACTTGCTAGAAAAGCCACAGGGACGTTTACATGGAACAGCTCAGTTAACAGGTATGTGTCTTTAAATTTTTAATTTTGTCAAGGATTTTTGAGTTCACCCTGTATGTGTGTCTGTTTAGTGGATTCTAATGGTATGTACATGTAGGTGCTTTGAAATAATGATCCTTTACAGTGGAATACATGAGATTGTTAGTGGCATCATCAACCCTGGGTATGATGCTGTACTTTTATGAGCTTTGTCAGTCACACTGATATATGCAATTTATTCTTGTCTAGGAATGGATCGCAATCACGTTGGTACTAATTATGGCGTGATTGAATACTGGGTTAGATTACGTGTTCCAATGGATCAGGCTCTCAGATTGTTCAGGGTAAGTAGTCATGCATCATACTGATTCTCGCAATTGTTACCATGCAAATTGTAGCACAAACAGTTATTAAGCACTCTGTAATACATTCTTGATATACGTTACTTGTACTTATAGGCCGGTGGCCTCTGTACCTTTGATAAATAAATATATATAATAGTAATTCACATCATATTTGACAGTTTTTAGCTAAATACATTCTCAATAGCAACATTGTTGTAAGTAACCTGACATTGTGTTGCACTGGTTGTACTTGATAACAGGAAAGACTGAAAGCATTAGGGTACATGACGTCTAACTATAGAGCCACAGAGGAGGCTATCCAAGCCCTAGACACAAGGGAAGCTACTACATCAAGTAGAGATAAGAATCTAAATGAGCTGGTCGTTAAGATTATCAGGGCTAATAACGTCAATGCAAGGAGGAATGGTAAGAAGACATTCATTCATTCACTTATTAGTCCCCGTTCGGACGAAGTCCGAAAACGGGGACTTATAATTCGGTCTCCGTCCGTCCGTGTGTCCGTGCATCTGTGCGTCCGTGCGTCCGTCCGGAGTCATATCTCAGAATCCCTTGGACCGATTCCGTTCATTCTTTGCATGTGCCTAGTACTTTATGTGGGACATATGCACATGCAGTGGTTTAGCGATTCGATTTAAAATGGCCGACTGGCAGCCATCTTGTTTTTGAAAATGTTGTATTTTGGACATGCTTTGCCAGTTTTCATT